GTTAAAAAGGGAAAAAAATTTTTTTTTTTTTTTTTTTTTTTTTTTTTTTTTTTTTTTTTAACAATAATCTAACTGTTATGTTCACAACTTTTTAATTGAAAGTAAGAAAAAAAGTAAATATCCGAATATATTTGGAACAAAAAGTTACTTGAAAGATTTTTTTTTTACTTTTAGTTAACTTAGCCAAGCATGATATTTCTCCCTGGTGACATAGAATTTTAAATAGTCAACGGTTGGTTATGTGATCTGCAATATAGCCTACCTTTGGGATGCCCTTTCCTTTTTTTGCTTGATTGTTCTGATGGTCTTTTATTTTGTCACATTGTCATTTAAGGGATTAACTAGGAATATTGTAATTTTGGTATAGATTTTCCAAGGGGTGGCAAAGGTGTAGGTAGGATTGGATTTGAATGGGTCAAAATTATGTTGGGTTAACACACAAACTCATAGTTTAGCTTTAGGTAGAAGAGAGACATGCGCAATTTAAGACATCCAGCCTTCTCATATTTTCATACTTCAAGTGCATATAGAATTTCAATTAAGAAAAGTACTAAAAGCACTAGCAAGCTCGTAATTAGTCTCTCTCTCTCATTGGCATGAAAATATCCGATTATACTCAAAGCTTCTTCTCCATAATGTATTCTACATATTGTGCTCCAATTTGAGAAAGAAAGTAAAACGACGGAATTAGCCTCTAAATTCTTCTATATTTTCATCTCAATCTTCCTCTTTCTTTTCTCAATCTTGTTCTAGTTCGTTGCATCCTACGTCAGTATTGCTTGCTGACTGAAGATGCCATGATGAGTGAGCTTTTGAGGGGTTGGAAGAGACGAAATGGGAATGGAAGAAGGGGATGGAATCGATTTCTATGATGCTGTTGACAGAAGGGAGGGGAAGGGAGTGAGTGAGTGCCTCAACTCAGAGAACTTATCTGTTGGATTATAATAATTGATTTCTATGTCCAAAAAGGGTGTAAAAAAATATTGACTTTTTAAAATGCATTGTTCTGTTTTAACGTCGAAACCTAAGAGTTTATTTGAAGCAGTTGCATTGAAGTCCTCCAAGAAATGTTTAGTTTAATCTACCTTCCTTTGTACTCTCTGTTCTTGCTGGCTTTTGATTATTTTGTTTGCACAATGATGCATATGGTGTAATGTCCAGTAATTGTTATATTTTTTTACATTCGCATCCTTTCATTTTCAGTATCAACTTCGGCGAGCCTCTTTGACAGAGGACGATGCATTTGCCTTTCTGAAGGCTGATAGCAATGGCGATTACATTACCTTCTCTGGTTTCTGTGAAGCATTGCGACAGGTTTGTGATATCTCAGTTTTATGTACTTGTATGTGCTCTTGGGTGACATTCTATATACTGTGTATCCATCTATATATTTTCCGGGGGTGGGGAGATGGATAATTTCTATTGTTTGGTTTACCCACAGCTTAATTTGATCGGCCACTGCTATGGATTGAGTGTTAAAGAGACTAATGACTTGTGGGTGCAAGCAGACATCGACGGGAATGGTGTTATTGATTATAACGAATTTAAGGTACAAGCGAGGCAAACATCATTTTAAAGGCTTTAACATCTTTATATAAAGCTTAGCATAGTGGAATTTACGCATTTTAGTGATTTCAATTGTCCGGTAGTATGTCAATCTCTGGGCTTCTATTTTTTCCCCTTCTCTTATATATTAATGTCATTTCAGCAACGAATGTGGAATACAACATGGTCAGAGGAAACAGACGAAGTGAGCAATGAGGTCGGAGACGATGTCAATGTAACGGAGCAAACTATAGGTTTCATTGTCGAGAATGCAGTTCTATTTCCAACAGATGTAGAGAAAGGAATGTGGCCCGAAGATTATTCACTTTCTGATCATGCCCCACTCACCGCGGTTTTTTCGCCAGTGAAAATGCCATGTTCTCGTATGATATTATGACCAGTGTTTGTCACATCTTTGGTCGGACATGATGTTTTCTAAAGATAATCGAAGTAACAGAATTCGACTGTTACTTTGGAGATGTTTTTTCGACGTAGATGAAATCAGTCCAGTATTGTGTGCCAAATATACTGTCACTATGCTTTGTTTTGGCCTTTTTATTTAGACTGCATTAGAAACAGAAAAACTGACGGGTAGAAGTAAAAATTGAAGGAAGAAAGAAGTAAACTGTGAATAGTTTATAGAATTAGGCATCAATTTAGCAATCTACTTTTGTATTTTGGTAAGATTGTACCTTCTAAATCTCCTTTCTTTTGATTTTTGCTATGTATATACGGAATTAGAGTTTGAGTCCTGCATTCGATCAGGTAAATTGGGAATTGTTTGAAGCTCAGTCCAACGTTAAATTAAAGCTAGAATGGATCGATTCGTACTCAGATTTTTTATTTTTTATTTATATAATTTTTTTATTACCGGTTCAATGACCGCTCAACCGATTTTTGAAACGTAAATAAATGGTGGAGTTCGATATTCGGATAATTTAAGAATATGTTCAACGAGGTGGGGCCCAGCCATGTTCAATCACCAGGATGGTCGGCCGCGTCAAGTTGGCAGTGTTATCTTGTTGATTTTTGTCTCTCTGCTTTTTTCGTTCTGAACGTTATCTTTAAAAGAATTAACGGTCGTGTGTAAGAGATGCTTTAACGAGCAAATCACATTTTTCATTCACTAGAAATGATGCATCTTTGAGTGCATGTTTGGCCAAGTTCAACTTTTTTTAAGATGATTAAACATATTTTTTATTCGCATATTTTGTAAAATTTATACCTTGCTACTTATTTTTTTATGCATTCTCTGAATTCAATAATTTATGAAGATAATCGAAGTAACAGAATTCGACTGCTACTTTGGAGATGTTTTTTCGACGTAGATGAAATCAGTCCAGTATTGTGTGCCAAATATACCGTCACTATGCTTTGTTTTGGCCTTTTTATTTAGACTGCATTAGAAACAGAAAAACTGACGGGTAGAAGTAAAAATTGAAGGAAGAAAGAAGTAAACTGTGAATAGTTTATAGAATTAGGCATCAATTTAGCAATCTACTTTTGTATTTTGGTAAGATTGTACCTTCTAAATCTCCTTTCTTTTGATTTTTGCTATGTATATACGGAATTAGAGTTTGAGTCCTGCATTCGATCAGGTAAATTGGGAATTGTTTGAAGCTCAGTCCAACGTTAAATTAAAGCTAGAATGGATCGATTCGTCCTCAGATTTTTTATTTTTTATTTATATAATTTTTTTATTACCGGTTCAATGACCGCTCAACCGATTTTTGAAACGTAAATAAATGGTGGAGTTCGATATTCGGATAATTTAAGAATATGTTCAACGAGGTGGGGCCCAGCCATGTTCAATCACCAGGAGGGTCGGCCGCGTCAAGTTGGCAGTGTTATCTTGTTGAATTTTGTCTCTCTGCTTTTTTCGTTCTGAACGTTATCTTTAAAAGAATTAACGGTCGTGTGTAAGAGATGCTTTAACGAGCTAATCACATTTTTCATTCACTAGAAATGATGCATCTTTGAGTGCATGTTTGGCCAAGTTCAACTTTTTTTAAGATGATCAAACATATTTTTTATTCGCATATTTTGTAAAATTTATACCTTGCTACTTATTTTTTTATGCATTCTCTGAATTCAATAATTTATAAGAACTTAAAAAAATACTTTCAAATATTAGGGATGGCAAAAATCCCTCGTCGCCACGATTGGAGCCCGCCCCGAATGGGACAAAAAACCCTGCCTCGACAGGTTGGCAAGGCGGGGCGGGGATACCCCGCCTCGAAATCGCCCCGTGAAGAGAAAAAAATAAAAATAAAATAAACGGAGAAACTGCTGCCCCTATCCCGAACTTGCCCCGTAACCGTCACTACCAAATATGTTCGTAACCGTCACTACCAAATATGGTTTAGTTTTGATTTTGAGAATTTTAAAGACATTCGAAGTTTGAGGGTTGTAGGGCATGAAAAATCTGAAAATTGTTCCTGCCAACAAGACTGTGGAGACACAATATGTGGAAATGATGTTGTTCCTTTACACTTTCTTCTTGTAGAGGGGAAAATTGCGTAGAGGATTTACAGGCGATAGCACCTGTATGATTGCATTTTTTCTCTTTTTTTTTGTCAACTCCCAATGAGGAAACGACATGCCCTCCTTGTAAAAACATTGTATAACTTGTCAACAAAAAAAAAAAAAAAAAAAAAAAAAAATGAAAAAAAAAAAAAAAAAAAAAAAAAAACATTGTATAACTTTTACCCTATGTACCAAGCACAACTCCTACACTAATGGCAGTGAAAAGAAAGTCAAGCAGGTTTTTGCCAATTGCTTATGTGTCTACTTTCTAACCATCTTTTTTAAAAATTGTTAAATGGGGAACATAATGAATTATTTAAGTTATATATGTCTTCAACATCACTTTGACTCAAGGCCATTTTACAAATAGCAGGTAATGTGACTTGAAAAGCATATGTACATTATTATAAATGAGTAACGATAAGATTTGAATTTAAGATTCATGTATGGTTCGATACGACGATACCATATTAAAATATTTTATCTAAAAATTTATGTTGAAAATTAGAAGTTGTAATTCTATTCCACTGAGAGCAAAGATTGCAGAAAAAAATATATTATAATAATAATAATAACAACAAAGACACACAAGATTTATATAAGTTAGTAATTTGTCAAATGTTAAAATTCATATCTATTTAACGAGGCATGTAATTAAGATTAAAAAGATATATGTTGCTCCAACTTACCATGAAATTTATAATATTAATAGATCATTTAATAAGATGAAATATACCGTACCGAAGAATATTAAGAAAAAAAGAAGGGGCTGTTTGGGCCCCATTTTTTCACCCAAAAAATTGATTTTTTGACCGTTATTTTACTATTTCAGCCGTCATATTTGACTTCTTCTCTCACAAATAGACCTCACTTTTCTCCTAACGGTTAAAAAATCAATTTTCAAAATCACTCCCAAACAGGCTAGAAGTTAAAATCTTTACATTATACATCTTAATGTCGTTTAAAATTGAATATTAAACATATATATAGTGTTTGTAAAAAGGACTTTGAAGAAATAATATGTCAGTATTAGAGGATTTTTTGGATAATAAACTTCTTCACTGGGTTGAAAATGAAATTATTAGAAGCTACAAGGATGTCCATGTAAATTCTAATTTAAATCCAGCAAAAGAAACAAAGAACGACGAATTAATTTTTTCAATGGTCACTGAACTTAGTTTCATATATTTTATTGGTCATCGAAGTTTAAAATGTTGAGTTTTTGTCATTAAACTTAGGTCCATGTCTTCGATTGTTCAATAAATTTTAAAATGTCGAGTTTTGACCGCTGAAATTTAAAAAATGTTGTACACTACTTACCGTAAACTTAATATTTTTTAAAATTCAGTAGTTATGTTAGTGAATAATATACTGTATTTTCTAAAGTTCAATACTCAAAACTCGACATTTTAAATTTCGATGAGCAATCGAAGACATGGGCTTAAGTTCAGTGATCAAAATTAGATATTTTAAACTTTAGTGACTAATAAAAGATATGGGACTAAATTCAGTGACCATTGGAACAATTAATTCAATAACGACCGCAGACCTCTCCGACTGGCAACACTTCACTTTGAACTTAGTCATAGAGAGAGATTCAAAGCTCTCATCCCTTCTTATCCGGTATAATTTTCGTTAAAATTTCCCCCTTTTGCTCAAGTTATTGATTTTATATGAACTATCTTGTTATAAATCTTATGTTATATCCTATATTTCAAGATTCGTAGTAATTTATTTAATCATTGTTTATCCACGATTCTTGATTTGTTTTTCTTGAATTTTTTTCTTAATAATGGGTTTGATCGATCCTTTAAATTTATTGTATTAATGGAATAGTTTTTTGTTTCTTGAATATGAATTTGATTAATCATAACCTAATGTAAAAAGTTTCTGGGTTTTGATTGATCAGTCGATGTGATTGTTTGTTACCACCAAGATATGATAGGTTTAGGGTCTATGGGCAGTGGAGTGGGAGGAAACTCATCGTCATCAACTTCAAATTTATCAGCTTTAGCCCCACCGTTTACTGTTGAAAGATCAAACCCTAAACTCAGTTCTATCCCAATTTTGCATTTCTCGGATTCATCTTATACTACGGCACCCGATAGCCAAACATGGCAATATCCACACCCTCCAGCTCCTGGACCTGAATTAAATATTGACTCCACTATAATGGAAAACTTTCCTTTGGTGTATTCCAGTCCCGGTCCTATTTGCCCGCCTAGTATTGATTGGTCTGTGCCCATTAGCCCGCCTAGTACCAGTTGGTCTGCTTTGAGCACTAATGCTAAAACTTCGACTGATGTTTTTTCATATGCTGGTGAGGTCAAGCCTTATCATTCCCCTTATGTTTCTAATATGGTTGGCAAAGATAGCCCGTCGGTTGTCGAATATGGACCCTTTTATGATCCGAGGCTCACCTCTGCACCAGATTTCTCCCCTCAAGTTGATTACGTTCAGAGCTTGTCTGGCTTGGAATACACTCCACAGTGGGATGATGCTTGGGCATTTGATGATGGGAAGAAGGCTAAAAGGGTTGAACTTGATGGGAGTTTTTCTTCCAAGAAGGTGAATATTGGTGATTCACTTGCTTCCAAAAGTTATATTAGCCCAGGTATGCATTTTATTCATTCTAGAACTTGATTAATTGTGATGACCTGAGTTTGTATTTTAGCTATCCATCTTGCACATTAACTTTTGCTATTCTTAGTCGAGCAATTATTTATCATATACTTTTCTTCAATTACTGTCTCTTAGAAGTGAATGTTTTGGATGAACTAAAGATTATATTTCTTTCCCACAAACGTTAATGGCATGCTTAATATAGAGGATTAGATAGTAGAGGACATTATTAAGGAAGAGAATAATCTAAAATCAATTTATAACACTGTTCAATCCAACCTGATACTCTGTACCATACATACACTAATGGTTTGCAGGGACGGTGTTGGCTGCCATCAGGGAGCTGGATAGCTCTGTTCCAGCTGGAGCAGTATAGGGAGTGTGTGTATATGGAGGACCTAAAGAAATATGAAAGACGTATAGAATTGAAAATAGTCTGAGAAACGAAAGCAGCAAGTCATCATATATTTATCATCTAAAGCAATAAAAATATTTAAAAGTTGTTCACCACATCAACTCACTATGAAGATTAACCAGTTTCATTGTCAAAGAAGGTAAAAGGGAAGCAAAATGAGTAGAAAAAATTAATTTGTAATGGTAACATCACACTGCCATTGTATGAGTGAGTAGATAAATGAAATAGAGTCCTAATAATTCATTTGTAGGATTGGCTGAGGCAGGCATGAAAGTTGAAGCTTTATCTCTAACTGTGTACAGGCTTTTGAAGATTTTGGTTCATCATACATGTAGGAATTGTGTATCTTCTGGTTGCTGGGAAATATAATAATGTTTAATTAATTGAGATAGGATTTTGAAATTGCATAGTGCATTATGAGCAAAGCCTTTTACAAGTCTCGTGTCAAATGTGTGATAGAATATTAAAATATATATGTCTATCTGATTTTGTTCAGAACATAAGCTAGTGGTTGGTTTGTATTTTCATTTTCAAAACGATTTTTAATTTTCCCCGAAAACGACCCGTTTTCTGCGTTTTGAGCGTTTTCGACATTTATAACTGAAAATGCTGAAGACGATAAAAAATCGTTTTGCGTTTTCAGTTATAAATTTTAACTCATTTTCGAAAATGCAAAAATGCATTTTCAAAAACAACAGACCAAACGCGTTTTCCGCGTTTTCGAAAACGGAAAACGGAAAATGGACCGAAAACGGCAAACTAACTACGGCCTAAATGTTTTAGTGGTAGTTTTGTCTATATTATATCCCTTTGTTTCCTCTCACTCTTTGCAAACTTTGTACATCGTACTCATTTATTTTTCTTGCCAATGTACAATCTATTCATTTTGATTGATTTTATCTATTTTTCATGTCAAAGTTTTGTTAGCATCACCCAGAATTTTCTTGTTTTTAAGGCTGTCTCACTCGTTCTCTATTACGCACACTTCTGCTATCATGCAGGAGTTCATAGTATTGAATATGGGAATACCTGTAAAGAAGATTTTGGCATATCATATGGCACATTCAATCATGTTTCTGGAAGAGAGAACCATATCGGATCTTCGACAGTTGGACATATGGAAGACAAATCATGCTTGGAGCAAAATCTTAGCTTCCTTCCTTATGAATCTTCTAGAAAGCCTAAGTTGATGTCCGGTTCTGCATATCCTGAATCTCTCTCTCTAGAGCTGTCTTTTAAAAGGTCTAGGAACTACTCAGACTATCAAAAGCTGAACATTCCACATGAAAAATGTTTCCATCCCCTTGAATCATCCTTTAGTGGTTCTACATCAGTAACAAGATCTACCCCGGCTGTGGTCCTTAGGCCTCCACCTGCTGGAAATAGTTTATTAGCAGAAAACGCTACTAATAAAACGGTGGATGTTGACAACATTTCAGGCATCCTCAAGGCCAAATTTGATGACAGTAATAGTGCAAAACAGAATGATCTGTGCCAAAAACCAATAGAAGGTTCCTTTGATGCAGGCCAATTCATATCTCACAAGAAAGGTAATGATCACATATTTTTTGCACCTCCTTCAGTTAAGGAATTGTCGAGTCAAGTGCTCTCTAAGGAAATCTTAGATAACAAAATCAAAGCATGTTGTGGATATCATCTGCCTGATACAAATGTCTCAAATGGCGTCTCTTTGGCTGTTAACAGTTTTCAAGTTGCGAAGTCTACTGAGAATTCTTCATATTGCTTAGATAATTATACTCCTGCAGTTGACTCGCCCTGCTGGAAAGGAGCACCAGTTTCTCATTTTTTGCCGTTTGATGATGCTGAAGTTGGCAATTCACCTTGCTTGAAGAAGAAATCTGAAGAACAATACGATTTTGATCATGAAGCGCAATTGCTTTTCCTCTCATTAAACGATTCCAAGAGAGCTTCCTCTCAAAAGCCATTCGAAGGCCATAAGAGTGATAAAAATCGAAGTGCAGGAAATATTGTGCCACCTTCTTCTGAGACAAGCTGGGATGCTAATTGTCCAACTATAGAAGAGAGTTCAACAGATGCTTTAAAAGATGGATTTGAGATTTCATCTATGAATAGCAGTAAAGGAGTTAGGATATCTAGTCCACTTCACAAACCTAGAAAAGAATTTGTCCTGAACGACTCAGTGAGTGGTTACGACGAGAAAATAACCAACGCAAAGCATTCCAGTGCTGAAGCGAGTGATATCCCACATAGAAAGCTTGGTTTACAGGCTAGTACTGCTAATTCTGTGATGACCTCTAATGATTCTTCTGAAGGTGGCGCTGTTGCATTTCATGCTGCAGAAAATGTCTTATGTTCTCCTTCTCAGGAAGATGCTTCTGAGGATGCAAAAGTAGGACCTGGTCCAAATTTGGATGTTCAATCAATTGTTAATGCAATTTGTGCCCTTTCAGAGTTGCTTGTGATGAATTCTAAAAATGATGCAATTGCTCTGAAAGAACATAACATTGACGCCCTTAAGCACGTGATCAGCAATCTTGAGGCATGTATGACTAAGAAAATTGTTCATAGAACTTTGAACGAGGATCCAATTGTTTCCACAGGAGACATTTTGGGTAAAATTGTGGATACTCATGATATGGTATGCCATTAATGTGATATTCGGACTCAATTAGCCTACTATTGAGATAACCATGCAAGGCTGTTGCACAGAAATAAATAATCTATTTATTTTTTCTTTTGTTCATTCTTATGAATTATTGTTTATAATAACTTAATCTTTCTGAATTTAGCATATCCCGTTTCTGGGATCTATGAATTTTTTGTACAAGCATTATCTTTCTTTAAGAAATAAGCAAAATAATTTCTTTTGTCAGGCTACTGTTGCAGGCAAGCCTCAAGTTACAAATGAAGCTCTGAACTCTCGTGCACATTTTGATTACCAGCAACTTCCTCAAGTTACAAATGAAGCTCTGAACTCTCATGCACATTTTGATTACCAGCAACTTCATGAAGAGAAGAGATATCACCTTTTTCCTGGTAAGAAAGCTGAGAGCTCATCGCTTCTTTCACCCTTAATGGGTGATGCGGACTTATCAACAGACGATAATATGGCCCAGGTATGCTCTTATAGCATGTTTGGTATGGTGGATTAGACAACTTTATGAAAGAGAAAGAAGTTAGAATCTTGCCCATTGTACCAGTGTGGTCTAATGCTGTATACCAAACATGCAATTAGTTTCTAATAGTCGGTTTGGAAGGATCTTTGTGTTGGAAAAGTACAAAATTAAAACCACATGCATGTAACAAATATTCATCAGCCATTGTCCTGGCATGTAGGCTATAAAGAAGGTCCTCGATGAGAATTTCCTCTATGATGAAGAAATGGACCCGCAAGTGTTTCTCTTCAAAAACTTGTGGCTCGAGGCAGAGGCTAAATTATGTTCCATCGGCTATAAAGCTCGCTTCAATCACATGAAGATTGAAATGGAAAAGATCAAATCCAACAAGAAGGAAGGTTGGCTTTACTTTTTGGTGAAGCTTTTGTTGTTATCTTGCCATCCATTAACCCTGTCCCCTCCTGATGCACTTTAAGGTGGTGCCGTGGCGGCAATACCCCACGCCATTTATATCTTTTTATATTTTTTCCTTGTAAATTCTTGGGTAATTTTGGAATTGGGCTAATGGGCTTGGGTAATTGGTTCGGGTTTGGGCATAAAAAAGTTGGGCTAAGGTGGATATAACGAATATTGACTTTTAAGATAAAACTATATAAGCGGGGCAGCAAAACCCTGCTTAGTTGTGGGGCACCGTGTGGCTTTGGTTTTTCGGGTCAAATTGCCATCCCTACCGATAATTTGAAAGCTGTAAATGTTCTCAGGAAACATCGCAGTTGTCGAGAAGATGTTGAAATTTCAGATTTCACCTAATCCAAGAACAGATTCCAATCGGCCACCTATGGATCAAGATGGTGCATTTCCGAAACTCGCAGTCCAGAATGCTTCTGTTCCTAGTACAAGTGGCAATGCTGATGATGCCGTGTCTGTGATAGGAAGATTCCATATATTGAAATCTCGGAAAGACAGCAAAAATTCTGTAAATACAGAAGAGGACATGCAAGAAATGGTTGATTGTGA